CATGAAACGGCTAGATGCCGTGCATGCCAAGGCCGAGACACGTCAAGGCCGTCTTTACATGGAGGCATCGTTCGCAAACGGGTCTAGATGGGGCATGCTAGACACGGGGGCCGACACGAGTTATCTCACGGAAGAGGTAGCCCGTTCGCTTGGCGTTAAGTGGACACCTAGCAAAGGCCGTTTCAAGGGCGTGAACGGCGAATGGACGGGTCTTGTAGGCGAAGCCAGGGATGTGCCTCTTAAAATCGGCAACTGGTCAGGTACGGCTAATTTCTCCATTGCACCTATGGATGATTATGGTCTTGTGTTTGGAATGGAGTTTTTAGACCAGGTAAAGCCGATCATCGTGCCTAGCAACGACACGATGGTGATCCTCCAAGGCGAGAAGCCTTGTGTGGTAAAGTTTAGACGGGAAAATGAGATTAGCCCTTCCCAGCTGAACAAGGGGCTAAAACGGGGTGAACACACCTTTGCCGCCATGGTGTTTGAGGAGGAACCATGCACAGAGGAGCCGGCAAAGGAGGAACGAATCCCGCCTCCCATAGAGCAAGTCCTTGTTGAGTTCAAGGACGTGATGCCCGACGATTTGCCCAAAGGTCTTCCACCAAGGAGGGAGGTTGATCATGCCATCGAGTTGGTGGACGGGGCGAAACCGATAGCCAAGGTGCCTTATCGTATGTCCCCTAGCGAGCTAGAGGAGCTCAAGGTGCAAATCAAGGAGCTACTTGAATCGGGTCATGCAAGGCCGTCTAAAAGTCCGTGGGGTTCGCCGGCCTTGTTCCAACGCAAGAAAGATGGGACGCTACGTTTGTGCATCGACTATCGGGCGTTAAACAAGCTAACCGTGAAGAACAAGTACCCTATCCCACTTATAGCGGACTTGTTCGACCGGCTGCAACGGCACGGATCTTTTCCAAGCTAGACTTGCGGAAGGGATACTACCAAGTACGCATAGTACCGGTGATGAACCGAAACGGCCATGGTGACGAGGTATGGCTCTTATGAGTTTCTTGTTATGCCGTTCGGTTTAACTAACGCCCAGCCACGTTTTGCACTTTGATGCAACGTGTGCTAGCGGATTTCATTGATAAGTTCGTTGTAGTATACTTGGACGACATCGTTATCTATAGTAACACAATGAAGGAGCATGTGGAGCATCTTAGAGCCGTTTTCAAGTCCTTAGGGAAAACCAGCTCTATGTTAAAAGGAGAAGTGTTCCTTCGGCCTTGAGGAGGTGTCGTTCTTGGGACACATCATTGGTGGGGCAAAATCCGCATGGATCCGGCCAAAATCAAAGCTATCGTGGAGTGGGAGGCACCCACGAAGCCAACGGAGCTGAGATCGTTCTTGGGGCTTGTTAATTACTATCGGTTCATTGAAGGACACTCCGCCATAGCCGCTCCATTAACGGATCTCTTGAAAAGGGGCAAGCTTGGTGTTGGACACCAAAACACCAAACAGCGTTCGAGGCTTTAAAGGACGCTGTCACTCGAGAGCCGATCCTAGCTCTCCCGATTTTGAGAAACCGTTCGAGGTGTGCACGGACGCTCGGACTTCGCCATTGGGGCGTTCTCATGCAAGATGGTCACCCGATCGCCTTTGAAAGTCGCAAGCTGAACGAGACCGAGAAAAGGTGGCCGACGCACGAGAAAGAGATGTTGGCTATAGTTCACTGCCTTAGAGTTTGGGAGCATTACTTGAAGGCCGCCACACCGTTCAAGATCAAGACGGATAATCGGGCAGTGAGCTACCATCAAAGCCAACCTAAGCTTTCAAGCAAGCAAGCGCGTTGGTTGGACTTCTTGGCCGAGTTTAAATACGAGCTTGAGTATAGCCCGGGGAAGACTAACCACGTGGCCGACGCGTTAAGCCGAAAGGCGTGTCTTGCGCCAATCGTTAGCATACCCGAAGGGATGTTGGTTGATCGCATCAAGAAGGGTCTTGAGCACGACCGTCAAGCCCAAAGGTTCATGGAGCTCGTGAAGGAAGGCAAGACAACACGGTTCTGGCTTGAGGATGGGATACTTTATGCCAAGGGAAACCGTTTGTACGTGCCCGCATGGGATGGACTTAGAAGGGAGATTCTAAGGGATTGCCATGGTAGCCGTTATGCGGGTCACCCAGGTACGCATCGCACACTTGCCTTAGTCCATGAACGGTTCTATTGGCCTCGCATGCGGGAAGACGTGGAGACGTATGTAAGGACTTGTCTAGTTTGCCAACAAGACAAGACCGAGCAAGACCTCCCGCATGGCTTGTTATCACCCTTGCCTATTCCGGAACGCCCGTGGGACAGCGTTTCGATGGATTTCATCGTGAGCCTGCCCGTTTCCGAGGTTGCACCAACATACTTGTTGTGGTAGACCGTTTGTCTAAGTATGCGGTCTTCATTCCCGCCCCAAAAGAGTGCACCGCGGAGATAACGGCCAAACTCTTTCTTAGGCATGTGGTGAAGTATTGGGGGCTGCCTACATCGATCATAAGCGACAGGGACTCGAGGTTCACCGGCCGTTTTTGGCAAGAACTCTTTCGTTTGCTTGCGACGGAGCTCAAGATGTCTACATCTTTGCACCCGCAAACAGATGGGCAGACGGAGCGCATCAACGGCCTCTTGGAAGTGTATCTCAGGCACTATGTGGCAGCCAACCAGAAAGATTGGGTACATTTGCTAGACGTTGCCCAATTTTCCTATAACTTGATGCGGAGTGAGAGCACGGGCAAAAGTCCGTTTGAGATTGTCCTTGGTTTCCAACCAACTACGCCTAAGGACATTCTTGGGGGCTATAAGGGCAATAGCCCACCCGCATACAAGTTTGCCAAAGATTGGCAAGAACGGGCCGACGAGGCAAAACTCTACTTGGAGAAGTCGGCCGCACGCATGAAGAAATGGGCGGATAAGAAACGGACCCGTCGCGAGTTTGAAGAAGGCGACCAAGTCTTGGTGAAGCTCTATGAACATGGACGGAGCCGTGGTCTACACAAGGGTCTCATGCGCAGATACGAGGGTCCTTTCACCGTTCTTAAGAAAGTGGGTTCGGTTGCTTACAAGCTGGAACTACCCGAGGCCTTCTCAAGGCTTCATCCAGTCTTTCATGTGAGCCTACTTAAGCCATACCGCAAGGATCCAGAGGACGAAGAACGGAACGTTTCCTCAAGGGCACCAGCTGGCGTACGCGAGCATGAGGAACGGACCGCAGAGGAGATCCTTTCTAAGAGGATCGTTTGGGGCAGGAGCGGGGCAGCAACTAAAGAATACTTGGTGAAATGGAAGAATTTGCCAATGAGTGAGACGAGTTGGGAGCCAATCGAGAAGCTTTGGCAATTCACCAAATTGATCGAGGACTTTGAGGAGAATTGTGCACCCGTTCCTATCAACATTGCCTTCGAGACTTAGGTGCATCGGGCGATGCACCATTTTGGTGGGGAGGATGTCACGGACAGTTTTCTTCACCATGAATTCGGGTGGTTTGATGCGAAACGGGCTATTTTCGTAGACGGACATGGGACGGAACGGTCTAGAGCCTTGTGGAATTCTCCGGTCAAATCTTGAAGACTCGGAATTTTCTAGAGAGGCCGGAACTCTCTAGAAAGCGAGTGGAACCGTATGGAAGCTACCCGAGTTTGCTAGAACCGTGTGGAAGATTCTAGAGACTTGTAGATATTTTGAACTTAGAATATTTTATTGTAGGAATTCTCTAGAATCCCATTATTTTATTATGTACATAGAATTCTCTAGAATTCTTTAGGACTTGGGGGGTTTGCCTATAAATACCCCATGCCCCCTCCATTTGTAACCATCCAAGCTTTGAGTAGAGTTCTCAAGCATTCCTTAAGCTCTCTTGTGCCTTCATCATTCTTTCACTTTCAACCTTTCTTAAGTTTTTCTTTGCCTCCGTTCTTTAAGGTCTTGCCTAGCTTTGCACGCTTTGGGGGTCTTAAGGCTGAGCTAGCACTTGATCGTTAGTTGTTTTGTGCTAGTGCCGCACGGCCGTTACTTTGAAAAAGTAAGCCCGTGACATGCGGCATAGATATATTATTAGGGGGTGGAAAAGGGCGACTACTGAACTTTGTCACAATTTCACTATGAATATCCAACACCAAATCCTCGAAATCCTCATCCGACATCATTGATCCGTAATTATAACTATTATTAGCATTATTGTTAATCTCATCCGGGAAAAAAATCATTATTATCTAGTTTGGACCATCGTGTTTGATATTTATCCCGTTTGAAAATTTTCTTTTAATACAATTTATGCTATAAATGAAAGTGTCGAAAAAATCTTTTAATAAAATTTTCTCTTTTAAATAAGTGAAACATTACACAGGTTGAACAATCTAATATGGTAGTGTCGAAAAAATCAATATATAATTAGTGATACATAATACACGTTTCGGATATCACAAATGAAAATTTTTTGATTTCATTGTATAATAAAAGAATTAAACACAATGACTTCATATTGGTCGGAGCAATGATTTAGGACACCGATACTTTAAAAAATTAAAAGCAGTTATTGTACATTTTTTATGGACATATTTGGCACAAAGAAAATAAATTATATTCCCTCCATCCTAGAAAAATAATTTCGGATGAGTTTTGAGATTTGTGTTTTTTAAACCAAATACAAATTTACAAATTTCAAAATTCAATGTGAATTATTTTTTGAGATTTGTGTTTTTTAAACCAAATACAAATTTACAAATTTCAAAATTCAATGTGAACTATTTTTTGAGGAGGCCGAACATCTTTTTTTAAAAAAAAAAAGTTAAAACCAAGTACAAAACACAAAAACCAAAATATAAAAATACGCAATGGGTAAACTTATCTGGTTACAATACCAATCGAAAAAAACTAAAATAATAAAGATTCATTACGGGTGCAACTATCCAAAATTAACTAGTATAATGTAGTGGCTGATGTACATCAACAAAGTAATGTAGTTAAACCTAAAAATAAAAGGGCACTAAAACATAACTATTCTTTCCGTCTCGATACCTCAGATTAATATAGGCGGAAAGTAGGACGGAAAATGGTAGTCGGCCATAGAAGGAGGAGGAGGAGGAGGAGGAAAACCCGTTGAATGCTGATATCCAGAACTATTACTTTTCCCACTTTTTGGGAAAAGATGACGTAAAGCAGGAGGCGTAGGTAAACCCAATGGAGGAGGACAAGTAACAAATTTTCCCACAATCTTATCCTTCACATCTCTCACCAACTTCCCGAAATTCTTGAACATTGAACCATAGTTATGTTTATTACTATTAGCTCCATTATTAATCTCCGTCACGTAATCTTGGACGTTGATTTCCATGTGGCCGACCACCACGAGATCACCTAGGTTTTGAGCAATAACGTGCAATTTATCATTGAAGGCGAAACATTCAACCGTGACTCTATGGTAGCGGAATTCATCGTCGGGTTTCGAGTACAGGAAGGCATAATGAGAGTCGCGTTCATTCCAGGTTTCAATGCCAACCTCATTGTAGCCGTTCGTGTAAGACATAACCTCGTCCCGGAAAGCGGCCGGCCCGGCTGCGTGAAGGACAAACCCGGAGGCGAAAAGGGTCGCGTGAACGGCGAAAGCCGCCTTGTTGTGGTCGTTCCGAAAGGCAGGCCTGGCTGCCCTTATTACTGCCATCACAGAACGCTCGGTTGTAGTATACCCCTCAGTTGTAGTAGGTGTCTTCTCGACTTCTTTTCCCTTTACTGACCCGGATCCGAACTTACCAAACTGTTGACCCGAATACGGTGGAGGTGTACCAAACTGCTGACCCGGTCCCGGACTCGATCTTCTTGTATGTGTCTTCTTGGCTTCTTTCCCATTGGCTGACCCGGATCCCAACTTACCGAACTGCTGAACCGCATCCGGTGTAAGCAGGCCAAACGGCATACCCGAAGCCGAACCGGGACCCGGAATCATGACCGGCTGCGGGCGTAACTGCAACGGTGGAGTAGAAAACTTTGTCACGATTTCGTTATGAACGTATCTCACAAGATCTCCCAAATCCTCAAACATTGAATCGTAATTATATTGCTGATTACTGTTATTATTATAATTCGTCGATCGGCCGTAAACTTCCTCCTCCGGCACGTAATCCCGGACGTTTATGTCCATCTGGGCAATCACGTCAGTATTAAATATCGGATTCACTCCTTTGCTTAGGGCATCAACGTGTAATTTACCATTCAAGGCTTGACACTTTACCACGATTTTCTCCAAGCTCATGAGATAATTCGACTCGGGATTCACGTTGGGTTTGGTATACACAAAGGCGTAATTAGCTTGGACTTGATTCCAACTGTCAATCCCAACCTCCTTGTACCAGCCGGGGGGATCGGGATCGGAATGGTGCTTGGAAAAGGCGGCCGGACCGGTGGCGCGGAGGACCAAACCGGAGGCGAAAAGAGTCGCGTGAACGGCGAAGGCAACCTTGTCGTTGGCGTTCCGCAAGGTAGGCCGAGCTGCCCTAATTACTGCCATGACTGACCGCTCTGTTGGAGGCTCTGGCGTCATCGTGATCGTTGTTTGTTTTTTTCTGTCCATCGAAGAAGATAAGCTAGGGTTTCTTCTGATGGGCGCTCTCTAGTGAAATTAATAAGGTTAATAATCACGACAAGGACACATCGCAGTATATATAGAAGAAAAAAGAATATTGTTTTCTAATGCTACTAGGATTCTAAAACCCTAGCATTATATTTTTACGATTTTATAATAATTCCAAAGAAAAAAAGGAAAAAAGACAGAGGTGGTCGACTTTTATTTTTAATATGAATTTCGTAAAACTTTTGTTCTCGTCAACTTTTCTTTCTTAGTTAGATTAATAATAATAATAATAATAATAATAATAATAATAATAATAATAATAATAATAATAATAATAATCCCTCTATCTGTCCACCACACAAAAAAATAATTCACATTGAATTTTTTGATTGGTAATAATTTTAGTATAAATTTGAAAATTAAATGTTAACTATTTATTTAGGATAAAGGGAGGGAAAGTAATGATCATCCACAGAAATTTCTACCCATTCCAACTCTGTTAGTTTCCGTTTCCCATGGCGCGTGCATGATATATACTGTTTTAATTATATGATTTCAATCTTACACAATCTTTTTCTTTATACCGATTAATTATGAACAAAATGAGTAATAAAAAGGGAGAATTTGTATTAAGGGCAACGGACGGAAATTAATTAATTTTTATAATTAAAAGGGACATAACTTATACAGTGTATTAATTCTTGAAAAATACAAAATTAATATGTTTTTTAATTGTCATAATTGCCCTTAACTTTAATCTTTTCCATCGGAAAAAAAAAACAAAAGAAAAAAAAAACAGAATATCCCTTTCCTCTCAACATTCCATTAAATCGAAAGTTTGCAATTCCATCGTCTTCTTCTTCTTCTTGAATTGAAGAAAAAATATAAATCCGGAAACTGAGGATTTATTCCTCAACTAATTTTTACTCCATATGGACTTGTTATGGGTTCCTATTCTGTAGTAAGGATTTTAATGTCCAATCTTACCTTATTGGAAAGATTTCATGTACTACGGATTCTAAAAGTTTGTCCTGCAATGCTTCTCTTGACGGTTGAGGTCCCAAGATTGATTGAGTTATCTAATACTGTATAAAAAAAAGAAACAAAAAATAAATTATAGTATATTTTTTCAAGGATCTTTTAAGTGTTTGTCTTATTGGTTATTTATTGTCATAAGCCAAGAGAATTTGCTGTGTAGATTGATTTGCTCATGAGGTTAGTTTTCATGTTTTTGCCTTTTCATCGGTTCTTGCTCATGAGGTGAGTTGCAGGGGGGAGAGATAAAAATTAGGGCAATTTTGACAAAGCAAAAATATTTTTAGTTTTAAATTTTAAGAATTAATTAAACGCCCCTAATTCAAATTATGTAAAAGTTAGGCCTCTTTTAAAAATTATTCTCCATCCCCAGCCTAAAAAAATGTGAAAACTTATATAAGCTATGTAAAACTTCGAGAAAAGCATATGGAAAAATTAATTCCAAATTTAATACACGTGGTTCTTTTGGGGGTTCAGCCATGGATCACGAGTTGCTTCTTTAATTTGTATGGTCAAAAGTATAGAGGTGCAATTGATGAGTGTTTGGAACCTTAGGTTTTGGTGTTGGATGGAGTACTTAATTACTACTACACGGATCATTAGGTTTGGCTAATTAAACTACGATTTTAATCAATATCCTAAACTACAACTTTTTATGTACTTGTCGTTTTCTCTTGTTAGCAAAAAAAGAATCATTACACTGGATAACAATCTAATGTGACAGTGTTGATCAAAATAAACCAATCAATATATAGAGTAATAATATATAGTAATCAATACCATATTTACTCATATATAAATTAGTACTCTTTCCGATCTTTAATATAAGATATTTTGATTTGTCCTGGTCCTTAATATAACACATTTTGATTTGTCTTAAGTTTAATCTAGTACATATTTTTAATCGACGAAAAACTCTTAAAAATATTTTATAACAATCAAGACAACACAATGAATATGAAAATATTTTTAAGGTTTTTTTGTTAATTCAAAATATCTACTAGTTGAGATATAGGAAAAGTCAAAATGCCTTATAATAAGGACCGGAGGGAGTGAAACATAATACAAGTTTGAAATATCACAAATGTGAAAATTTTGAATTTGATAGTATCATAAAAGAAGTTTTTGTACATATTTCGTGGACATATTTGGCTTTAAAAAAAAAAATCAACAATCAACTATATATGAAAACTTAATTAGCTAGTTCAATCAACGACCCCATTGATGAAAATTATGATCCAATCAATCGCTTTCACTCTCATAAGTCGAGACGAAGATAGTGTCTTCTTCTTTAATAAAAGTCAGAACCAAGTAGAAAACGTACATAAAAGGAAAATCAAAATACAATGTACATAATAGCTAAAATAAATTCAATGGAAATAACTACAATAAATCATTTCTTATGGGAGCAACGTAACCAAGACTGCCTAGTATAATGTAGAGGTTGAGTAACATCAACAAAGTGCAAAAAAAAAAGTGCAAAAAGAATAGAACCAAACTACCCTTTATCTCAACAAGAGAATAATTAAGACTCATTATTTGACGGAAAGGAAAGAAGCTCTTGAACTCCGGGTGGACGGCGAAACAGCAGCTGTCTCCTAGGACGCTGGAAAGAAGCTGGCCGGCGGATAGTAGTCTGCCGTAGAAGGAGATAAACGCGTTGAATGATGATTACTGAAACTATAGAGGAGGACTAGTAACGAAGTGAATACACAACTCCATCATAAACATCTCTCACCAGCTTCTCGAAATTCTTGAACAATGAACCGTAACTATATTTATTCTTAATAGTATTAGCTTCATTGGTCACGTGATCCTTGATGTTGATTCGCAATCGGGAACGTATCCGAGTAGAACCTAGTTTTCGGGCAATAACTTCCAAGTAACCGTTCTCGACGAAACATTTAACATAAAAATTACGGGAGCGGTCGCCTGGTTTGGAGTACAAGAAGGCGTAATGTTTGTCGTCTTGATCCCAGAATTGAATGTCAACCTTGTCGTAAGGGTTGGAAGAATACAAATCCAATACCCAGGAGGTAACCGGGCGGGTGGCGCGGAGGACAAAACCGGAGGCGGAAATGGTCGCGTGGACGGCGAAAGCCAGCTTGTCGTAGCCGTTCCGGAAGGAAGGCCGGGCTGCCACCATTACTTCCCACACTGATTGCTCCGTTGGCTTCTTCACCTCGGATCCGAACTTACCCAACTGCCGACCCAGGTACGATGAATGTGGACCAAACTGCTTAGCTGAACCTGAACTGGAGCCCGTACTCGAACTCGAACTTGAACTCGATTTCGATTTTGATCCCGATCGCGAACTCGGTCCCGAACTCGAACCCTTACTCGGACTCCATTTCGATCCCGAACTCGAACTCGAACCAGAATCAGACTTGGAATCAGAACTGGAGTTGGAACCCGAACCCAAACGAAAACTCGAATCCGAACTCGAACTCAAACTCAAACCCGAAACGATGACGGTAGGCTGACGTGACTGCCACGACGGTGGACTAGTCAACTTAGTCACGATATCGTTATGAACAAATCTCACAAGATCTCCCAAATCCTCAAACATTGAATTGTAATCATGATAGTATCGATTCATAAAATTTGTTGCTCCCTTAATCGTCTCCTCCGGCACGTAATCCTCGACGTTGATCTCCATTTGGGCAATCACATGAGGACTGCTCGGGTCCACTCCTTTGCTTAGGGCATCCACGTGTAGTTTACCATTCAACCCTAGGCACTTTACCACTATGTTCTCCAAGTTGGAAACATTACCCGATTTGGGATGCAAGTTGGGTTTGGTATACACAAAGGCGTAATTAGGCTGGACTTGGTTCCAATCGTTGATTCCAACCTCCTTGTACCTGCCGGCGGGAAACGGATTGGTGTTGTTGCTTGAAAAGGCGGCCGGACCGGTGGCGCGGAGGACGAAACCGGAAGCGAATAGAGTCGCGTGAACGGCGAAGGCTACCTTGTCGTAGGCGTTACCGAAGAAAGGCCGAGCTGCCCTTATTACTCCCATGACTGACCGCTCTGTTGGAGGCTCTGACGTCATCGTCATTGTCGTTTTTTTTTTGGTTTGTTTAAAGATGCTTTTGCTGTTGGTTTTTCTTTCGGTGGAAGAAGATGAGCTAACTAGGGATTCTGATGGCTCTCTCGTGAAAAGTTAATAATCAACACACATCGTATTCTTATATATAGACCGAATGTTGTTTTCCTAATCCTAACATGATTCAAAAAATTATCTTTTTTAGTATACCAAAAAAAAGAAAATTATTCTTTTATGATATTACAATAATATTTTCGAAAAAGAAAAGGAAAAGAAAAAAAAGCCACGGATGGGGAATTATGACATCTCATAATTGACATTTTTGTTTCCTTAAAAATATTAGTATGAATTTATTAAAAATTCTGTCCTGATAATATAAAAATAATTAGATTCCTTCTATCTAACAGTATAAAAATGGTAATCATATCGTCCACATATATCAATCCCTATCGCAATTGGCAAGGCGTTATTAGTTATGATGGCTTTGTCTCCGAGAGCATGATAACCAAAGAATATCAAAATGCCCCCAATCAAGGTAAACATAAGATCTCAATTGTAACTTTTCTTTGAACCCCCTGTCGGAGGGAGTCTTGTTGGCGAGAGTACTTCCGCCGCTGTTCATTTTCATTGTGTTTTCTTTTTCTCTTTAGAGCTGTACTGTCTCTATTTTCCAACAAAAATAACCCACATCAAATTTGTAATTTGTCATGATTTTATTTAATATAAATAACAAAACTCAATATGGATTAATTTTTCCGCCGGATGGAGTGATATGTCTAGGAAATGTTGATTGTTTCTTATGAAGGATTCTTGCAGTTGGATAGAGGGAAAAAAAAAGACTGGATTCCGAGTTCGGTGTAAGATCTGCCTGGCAACGACCCAACTTCTATCCGAATGGTATGATGGGTTTTTCTAATCTTCTGTCATATCTAGCTTTCCGGGTTTTTTTTATTTTTTTCTTGTATACGCTCTTTATTAATATTAGGGTTTCGATTTGAACTTTTGCTTTTAGTACTAACACAAATCTATTTATAAAACACATTACAACAAAAACCAATTTTTTCCGAAAATTCCACTTCTCAACCTCTCCTTCAAAATATCTATTTGTCATTTCAACATTTTTTTTCAAAAAAAAAGTCCAAATAAAAAGAAATGCCAAATCTCGCATCCATTTTCCTATTTGAATTCTCCACTTTCATTTTTGGTCAAAAGTGTAATTCTCCACTGTCATGGCTAATTAAAACTACCCGTTGGTAACCCAAACATGAAAACTTACCAATTTTTTAGTAATAAAATTCATAGTGCCACTCAATTTTCAAAAATCTAGGAGCACTAATTTATGCTCATTTTTAGATTAACTGCTACATGTTCACAACTACTATAATTAATCAAAGAAACCATCCGCTATATCCTTACATTCACAAATACTAAGAAAACCCCGTATTCTTCTTGCTCAAGTCCTCTTTGTAACTAGATCAATCCAAAATCTTCACCCCAATGAAACAATTTTGGCCAAACTCTACATTTCTCTTCTTCTCTGTCTCTTTGATGCTAGATTCGAAGTGCGAATTCTAGTGACAAGCAGAATCAAGGACCATAGAAATTTCGGTTTTGCTCATGTTTGAAAGGTAAACAAAAGAGTTTTTATCTCTTTTTCTTGTGAAAAAAAAGAAAAGAAGTGTTTTTATTTCTTTGAATTAAAAAAAAAAAGTGTTTTTATCTCTTTGAATTAAAAAAAAAAAGTGTTTTTATCTCTTTCATTATATGTCTATCTTGGATCACTGGCGGATCTAAAAACTTTTACCCGCATGTGCTCGCTTACAACGCGAGAAATTTTTTTCTTAACAATGCTTACTCAACAAAGCGAATAACTATAACATTGAAGTTTTACATGAAAAAAACACATATTTTTGGATATATTTTGTAGATGATCATAGTAAATCTATAACCAAAAAAATTGAATTTCCGGCTGTTGGGTGTGCTCGGGCTTTTCCAAGCCACTATACTACATCCGCCCATGTCTTGGATGATAAATGAATTCGGATATTGTTTAATGAAGTTTTCTATGTTCTTGGTGTTTTTCTTGTGTCCTCAATCATTATAGTATTTATTCTAATACGAGGTTTTGATGTAACTCTTTGGATTCAAGATGATATTTACTGTCTCTGATACATGGAATATATGATAAAGTCTTTTATAATTATTGCAATATAATTATAGTTACAATACAAAATTACATTATATTTTCATTCCCTTTATTCAAAATTTGTTAATCAAAATAATAGATATTAGTTCAAAAACTAAGAACCTAGTTATATATTAAAACTTGATAATTTTTTTGACATGAATAGATTTTCTTCTTAAATATAAAACTTAGAACGTAACCGAGTAAAGCATAAAAATCAAAATACAAAATACGTAATGGGAAAAATCATAGCAGGTAAGTAGCTGGTTGTAGCGGCTGTTTTCTACACATATGCTCTTTCTTTCTCTTCTTTAACTTGCAGCAACTATAACTTGCAGTGATGGCGGAGCAATTCCTTTCTTTTGCAGTAAGAATTCGGCCTTGGTTCCTCCTGATTGACAGCAGCAATAGCAACTGCCGCAACAACTTGGCAGCAGGATAATTGTCCTTCTTCCTCTCAATTGAGTATGCTGTTACAGATTCTTCCGAATTATGATCATCTGTTGTCAATCTTTCTTCTTCAGCAAGAATTTCTCCACTTGCTCCAGCTCTGATCAGCCCTTCCAGCAGCTTTCATTCCAGTACTTTATATGTCTTTTTGTGCAATTTGATCCTCATCTATACTAATTTTCTACTTTGGCCCCTTGAGATACCTAAATTATAAAATTACCTCAAAAATAAATTAATCATAACTAATTGACACTAAATTATGAGTAGAAATAAATAATAAATGCCTGCAAAAAGGTATATATTTTTGTGTTATTACCTGGACAAGCCCAAAAGGCCCAAACTACAGGGCTTCTTCCTCTTAATCATCAATGGGCCAAGAGCCGGTTTAAATTGAGAACTTAAAATCATGGCATACCAGTTTTTCTCCTATTTTTTGGTATTAATGTTTTTCGTGATGTTTTGCCTCTAAAAAAAAATATTTTTCGTGATATCTTTTAAACATAAAATGTTGATAAACATTTATCAAAAAATGAAAATAAAAAAATGTTGATTCCATCGTGGGTTGTTTAATTTATTCTAAAAATACTACATAATAATGCCATAAAGGTAAAATTGCGGCCGTATCCAATTTCATTTCTTACGTGAAAATTACGTCATAACCAACAAAGACGTAAGTTTGAGCATGGTATACGGATGGAGGGCACCGATTTTGAGTATTAAAAGTTCGATATTCATTATATTAATTTGTTAATTATTATATAAAATGCAGAGGTCAGGAATTGTTATAAGAAATGAATCGTACACGTTCATACGTACACCTTGCCTTAAAAGATACACATTTAAGAGTTAAAGGATAGTTAAAATTCAGTTATATCATTCCCGATAAATTTTCCGATTAAATTTTTCCAACATGTATTACCGTTCTATTATATATAAGTTGATGGAATATAAGTTGTGAAATAAATACTTGTGTAAAATATGGAAGCATCCTAATAAGTCCAATATACATTGATTAATCTATAAAATAATTTGTCACATTCAATTTTCTCAAGATGATTTATTGATCTCCTCAGAAGACATGAATAAACGTCAATGCTTATTCTTAGGCGATGCCAATGCGAATTTATTTACTTCTTCTGGTGATGGGTTTAGTGATGGGTTTAACATCTGTTGTGAAGTCATTTCAGTAAATTGGACAATGCTTAATTTCGTTTGTATTTATGTTTCATACTTCCACAGAAATGTGCTATCATACTCTCTAAGAAATGCAACAATGATGAAGTCTATTGTTTTAGAGTATTTTGAATAGTTGTACGCATTCTGCAATGTAAACATGAGTGTGTGCACGTGATTTTTTTACTGTTTTCAAACTGGAAAAACGGGAAGAAAGGGTACAATTAAGGAAAAAATATGTCAAGAAAAAAAAACATATATATATATATATATTTATATCTATTTATATCATACTTATTAAAAGCAGCTATCACAAAAATCAAGTGGCAGCTCCACAAAAAAAAAAATTTTCCCTCTAAACTACACAAAAGCCACATGGCTGCTGCTTTCAAGAGTTGGAAGGAATGCCATAATTTTAAACACCTATTTAAAATTACCATAGTAGATTAATTTAATTTTACGGGTCAATTAATTTGAGGAATTTATTTTTGGAAGTAAATATTAGAATAAAGATTGATAATCCATAATTTAATTCCATAATTCTATAATTTTATGCATATATATAAAATTACAATAGATTAATTTAATTTTGTGGTTAGTTAATTTTAGGCATTTATATTTGGAAGTAAATATTAGAATAAAAATTGACAGTCGAGATAAAAGGATTAGCGTTATTTTATCTTTTGATTTTTTTATGTAAAATTTTTTTATCATAAAAAAAATACTCTTTTCTTTCTATTCTACATACTCTTTTTTTTCAAACATGAAGGGCTGATAAATTAGTATATATGTATATATATATATATATCGTGTACCAAAAAAAAGAAAAAAAATGTATCAACGAAAAGAAAATTAAAAAAAACCCAAAAACCACAGCTGGGTAAAACGAGGGGATTAGTGCGGGAATCACTCCAAAATTCACAAAATCAAAATAATAAAAAAAAAAAAGATGACACTCTATTTTTTTTAAAAAAAAAACCACTCTAATTGAATGAAACATTTAAAAAAATTCCACTTTATAACAAAAGCCCTGATTAAGAAAAACAATAGAAGAGCTGATAAAACAAAACTCCACACAGATTACTAATTATTAGTGATTGATTAGGAATATGTTTTTATGTTTTGGATTGATTAGGGATGAGAATTTGAGTTTGTAGACTAAGCCTTGTTGTTTTTTCTTTCTTTTTTCTCGAGAATAGAAAAA